TTTTTTTTTTTTTAATGCATGTTCCTCTCCTTCCAAATAAATAAACCTTACTCACTGAGTCTGACTATATGTGCGTTCTGAGAAAAAGCAGGTAGCAGATTATCAAGGCTGTCTCCAAAAACGTGTAACAGCTGGGTGCAGCTGTCAAGCTGATGCCCCTCTTTTTAAAGTTTACTCCCTGGAAGTTTGAACCTGCGTTCAGTTGTTAAGTGACTCAGCTGCTGAAACGGGTTGCAGCTTTGACAGAAAGAAAAACATGCCGCTGTTTCTTTTGCACCGGAGCATTTATTCTGGTTGCATTTTAATGCGACGCAGTACAGTAGCAAATGAGTAAACGGGGTCTGACTTGACAGTTGGGACAGGAAGGATTGCATCATGGAAATCATTGGGCCATTTTCACGCAGGGAGTGGGTAACGTCGCCAGCTTAAAGTAGGTTCGAGTACAGCAAGAGGTTAAAGTGATGGCGGTCCTTCTTTTACAAATACAGTGGGTCACTTTTACACAGCTTTATCTGGAGAATCTAAAGAAGTGTGCAAAGAAACAAAAAAATAACAAGAACAAAAAGTGGCATTTGAACAGTCGCCATTGCTGTTGTCATCACCACTAACAGGCCTCCTATGTGCATGCCTGTCTTTTAATGTGACTCTGTGCATTTCAGGCTAGTGCCATGCTAACTCTTTCCACCATAACACCACATTTGAAGACCTCCCCTGTACCATTAATCACATGCTTTGACTCATTCGTGTATATCAATCAAGACTTGGTTTGACGACCATTAGAATAGTTTCCAGGTTTTTCAAAGGGTAGCTGCATAGCCAGAGACCACCCTCTGATGCACACGCAGTCATTTTGTTCTATAAGCAGGCCTAAAACATGACAGAAACCGCTCAGTTCAGAACAGACCTTCAATGGTTCCTCATAGTTGGCCTTCAAGGGGTAAAGAGTTAAAAGTGATATGTGGCTTTTACTGGGTTGGTTGCATAAAAAGAGTGCATCCCTTTGAAGGTCTTTATTTTCTTATTAAGGGGTCGATGGGAAGTGTTTGCACACTTTTTAAGCAGCATGTGTGTGTAAAAATACTTTGTCTGTGTCTGTTTCTGTGTGTATATGCGTTGTGTTCTGGAAGCAGTGCTTGGTATTAGATCACAAGCTGTCCCCTGGCTGGCCTTTTGCTCCTTTCCCTGCCACTGTCCCAACTGTCCCTGACACCAATGTAGAGAATGATACACCCCCACCTCCCCTCTGTAACACACACACACACACACACACACACACACACACACACACACACATAAAAGCTATTGCTCCTGGCCCGGCTTGTTTGACACCTCTTCAAAACGGGCCGACTGTGAAAGTCCACGGTCTATTTTGGGCTGCAGTTGTTGAGGGGTAGTTACTCCAATAAGTTCCCAATGTACTGCCAAAGATAACAGCATAGAGGTGTGACCCAGTGTCTTTGGAACCACAGGTCTCTACTCAGATTTCGTGTCAACCGTTTGAGTGATGGAAATGTGTCACACTGGTCTGGGCTTAATTCAAATTCCACTGTGGACGTCCTAGCGGCGGTCCCTCAGGGACGTGGGACGGTCACATCACATGTATGCATGGGAAGGCATTTACAGCTGTTCTCTGCTGCGAGTCAGCCTGCGGTATTATGAAAGAAAACTGGCTCTGAGTGCAACTTTTGGCATGTCAGGGCTGCCTATACCTCGATACGTGTGAGATGCGCTTATGATAGATGGACAGGTGGAAAGACAGGACAAGGGTGAGATAAAGAGTGAAACAAAGAGGAAAGAGCAGCAAATGACAGGACAGATGCAGAGGCATGGGGACAGATGGATGGTGAAAACGTATAGACCAGGAGGGCCTTGGGCTTGTGCCAGCCCGAACCAAAGCCCCTGGATTGGAAGTAAAATGTTATGGGCTTAGTATGTAGTAAAATAAGAAGCCGAGGCTTAAAGCATTATTCAGATATCATACAGAGACGTGCTGTGAGAGCATGCATGTGGTCCGTGTCACGTATGAAAACTCTTTATATTACTCCAACAGGATGCTGTGTGTTCAGAATGTGTGTGTGTATGTGATGGCACTCGCCTTCAAAAGGCATTATGGTGCTTTGTCTTGTTTTGTTTTTGCCTTATTGGACAGATGCTCAGGCGCTTATTCTTAAGTAAAGGCAGATTAGATTGATTGGGTCATCTTTAGAAGGCTTTGATAAAACATGCTGTGATGAAATGTTTTCCTCAAGCAGCCCTGCCTACTTGTGTAAGCACAGATTAGCTCACACACTTGTTGGCATTATAGCTCCTGTGAGCTGAAACAGGAACAAGCACAAAAAGCCATAGACCCTCTGAGAGGAATTGTCACGCCCACACACACACATATACACACACACACACACACACAGCAGAGACCCTTATTGTCCCTGTTCCTACTCCCTGCTGAATGCCGGTTGCGTTTATTTTGCAAATTTATGCTGACATTTGAGAGTACACCACCCGCATCAGTTCACTGCTCCAGCAAAGGGTGTATGAATTATCATATTCCTCTGTATAATATGATTTTCTCAAGTGAGTCTTATTAGAATACACCATACTTTCCTCATCTCGAGTTCCCTTCAGTTTTACTGTGCCGAGACATTGTTTGCACTGTCTGCTGGAAGAAATCCTCCATCACTGTCGAGCTGAAGGCAAGCCGCGGCTTTCAGGCCCGCAGCTCTGCTGTGCTGCTCCGTTTCAAGACACATAAATGAGAGGGAGCGCAGACAAATAGGCTCAGATGTATAGTAGAGAGAGATGCCGACATGGGTTGTCCAAGCCTGTGTCATCTCGGAGCATCTGTCAGATCCACTCCACAACAAGAGCTCTCAACCCGCCTGCCCCATAACACTGTAGGCTCCCTTTTCCGCCTCTCTCCCGCTCTCTGTCTTTTCACTCCCAAGGCAAGGCATTTGTCCCTGGCTCATGGCAAGTTGGAGCAGCAGTGGCTAAACAAATATATTCTGGCCCCCCAACAGTCGCTTCTGGAAGGAAAGGCTGGAAGGGAGATGGGAGCAAAGGAGGAGGGAAAAAAAATAAAAGGATAGTAAGCAGAATGGTGAATATAGCCAAAATAAAGTCCCCACAGGGAATGTTTGGAAAAAGAGCAAGGGAACATCTTTGGGTCTGGTGGTGGCTGCTTGGCTTCCCTGTCTAGTCCCCCCTTCCCTCATCTCTCTCTCTCACACACTCAACACA